CAACCATACTTAACAATCTGATTAATCAGATATATACATGGGGTTAATCAGTATAATATCTTATATCCAGTTTGATTACTCAACATTGAAATTTTTGCAAATTATATAAAAACGTGTGCCAAAATCTGTTTTACAGATCATTCCATGTTAAGAGCCCATAATATTGAACTTGTATTGTTTCAAGCATATTTGTTTTAAATCAGTGCCATAAAAACTGGGTTGTCTGGCTGGGATTTATCTTTGTGTTATATGGTTTCCCAGCATTAATTATAATGCTGGCAATGGATTTTTATACCCACTGTATGTTATTTTACTATTGAAATTTATATTTTTAATAGATATTTAAGAGTTCTAATTATACAAATGTCAATATTTGACTTGTTCATTAATTTTTTTGATATATGTTAAAATAGGGATGATGTGTTGTGTACTTTTAATTAATTACCTTTATATTGTGTACCTATACCCTTTGGAGATGGAATTATCCAGATTTGTTTTCCAGAGTTCATGTATAGTGGTGCATGAAAAGTTTACAGGGATTTACTATATAAATGGCTTTTAAATTTGATTGATATAATGTTAAAATTATTTGACAGGTTGTAGTGATAATAAGTGCTTGAGTACTTTCAAAATTAGGACTGAAATAAAACAATGTATAACAGCATTTTAGGATAAATATATGTATTCATGGAGTACAAAGTTTCATGAATTTTGTGGCTGCTACAAAGCACAGATCTAAAAACTTGGTTACAAATTCTCAATGCAGATACAAACTGGGCCGGCCCAGACTGTCTTGAAATGTGTTTTCTGTTACTATGGCAGATCTGGTTATTTACAATGTCTAGTTGAATGTGTCACACTTGAATGAATATAGTATATATACAGTCTGCTGTCACTAATCATACAAATACTATCTCCAATGAAAATATCTGATTGACTCAGTCAAGAATAGAATTTTAAGTAGCTTATGCCAATTCTTCCCAAGGACTCCTCATCAACGAGACTATGGGTCATACAAACAGATTCTATTAGGGGAAAAAGACCATGTATGGATTTTGTACGTATACTCTGACTATACTTTAGTTTTTTTAATATTTTTGCAAAATTAAATTAAGCCTGACAAAGCATATTTGCAATATACTTTGGCATCTGCCTTTTGGCAACAAGCATTTTTTAAAATGTAAACATTTATTGTGGATCACATTGTAGCAAATTTGTATAACCGAGTCAGCAAACTTGCTTGTAAAAAGTTTTTGATTTTCAATCTTTTACTATTGTTTTTTAAATATTTGAAATCAAATTGGCAAGGCTATTCCATTTAAACATATGTGGGACCCAGGGAAGGAGCTTTTAAAGTGGGGTACTCACTAATAGATGCAATTTAGAATTTTCTTGTCATTTTAATATGAACTTTGTGAAACTGAACTACCTTGGCATAAATTTTTAAGCAAAACTGCCTTCCCTGGGTACCATGTATGTTTAAATGGAACAACCCTAATGCTGGGTACCATGTACATTTAAATGGAACAGCCCTAATGATTTTTAACTTGATCATGAGAAGAAAAACCAAGAAAACATTTTCAAGAAGAAATATGTCACAGTTTATCATTTATATACCCAGCTTCAAATTAGGGAGCATTTTCACAGTGTTCAAATCTCTTTTCATAAGAAATATTATATACCATTTTTTTTAATTTTTTTTAACTGCCTTGATGTAATCTGATAGGCTGTTTAAATTCAAAACCATTTAAACAACAGCAAAGTTTGTATGACTATAACAGATTTTTAAGAGCATCTACAGTTGTGCAGTATACCACAGATTCCTTTATTTTCTCTCTACTAAGAATTACATTTTCATCATTTAGTGGATTGTGGAAGGAATTGTATTGTTTCCACAGAATGATAATTAATTGTGGAAGGAATTGTATTGTTTCCACAGAATGATAATTAATTGTGGAAGGAATTGTATTGTTTCCACAGAATGATAATTAATTGTGGAAGGAATTGTATTGTTTCCACAGAATGATAATTAATTGTGGAAGGAATTGTATTGTTTCCACAGAATGATAATTGTGGAAGGAATTGTATTGTTTCCACGGAATGATAATTATTGGAGTTTTCATTGTGGTTTATATCAAGTGCAAAATGAAATTGGTAACCACAAAAAAAGTAGAATTCATGTTATAGTCTTAGAAGAAAACATTCAAAAAAAATTTGCATGCGCTAGAATTGCTTAGCTTAAAATGAATGCCTTTTCTACTAAAACACTGTGTTATTAGTGTATCTAATATGTCAACTTTTCTGTAATGTTAAATATTGAAATTAGGAATTAAATGTTTTCCTTTTAAGATGGAAAACAAAATCTTAACCAAATAATTTTATTGCACTTTTTTTTTAATTCATGATTAAAATGTTTTGGATTCAATGTGATTGCAGTGATTTAACATTCGCATAATGGCTTTATAGTGCTATATTCACAGAGATTTATGCAAGCTTGTTGAAATAAAAGTATTTAAATTTTTTGTGGTATTGACATTTATTTCCTTGTTGGTATATTTTATTGTATAGTTTTTAGGATTCAGTAAATGTATTATTAAAAGATCCAATGAAGCCAAAGTTACAAATATACACTACAAATTCAAGTAAACGTACTTAAGGGAATCACAACACATATACACTACAAATTCAAGTAAACGTACTTAAGGGAATCACAAGACATATACACTACATATTCAAATAAACGTACTTCAGGGAATCACAACACATATATACTACATATTCAAGTAAACGTACTTCAGGGAATCACAACACTAATTCAGCCTATGCGTGCTACCTAAAAAAAATTAAAAATACTAGCGAAAATGGTTCTTGCATTCAGTTGAAAGAAATGTTTCTACATTCATTTTTAAAGCCTTTGTGCAGGAAACATTTTTCTGGTTCTGGAAATGTCACTTGCACCAAATATTCGAGTACATTTTAATAGCACTTTTTAGAAAATGCATAAAAACTATGCAAAATTTTTAGATTACATATCCAAAATGATGTTTAACATACACTCTGATGGTCTGTCCAAGTTTGTGTCTAACATAAGAAACTCTGATGGTCTGTCCAAGTTAGTGTCTAACATGAGACACTGATGGTCTGTCCAAGTTAGTCTAATATAAGAAACTGATGGTCTGTCCAAGATAGTGTCTAACATAAGACACTATGATAGTCTGTCCAAGTTAGTGTCTAACATAAGAAACTGATGGTCTGTACAAGTTGTCTAACATAAGAAACTCTGATGGTCTGTACAAGTTAGTGTCTAACATAAGAAACTCTGATGGTCTGTACAAGTTAGTGTCTAACATAAGAAACTCTGATAGCTGTCCGAGTTAGTGTCTAACATAAAACACTGACGGTCTATACAAGTTAGTGTCTAACATAAGACACTCATGGTCTGTCTAAGTTAGTGTCTAACATAAGAAACTGATGGTCTGTACAAGTTAGTGTCTAACATAAGACACTCATGGTCTGTATAAGTTAGTGTCTAACAAAAGAAACTGATGGTCTGTACAAGTTAGTGTATAACAGAAGAAACTCTGATAGTCTGTCCGAGTTAGTGTCTAACATAAGAAACTGATGGTCTGTACAAGTTAGTGTCTAACAAATAAAACTGATGGTCTGTACAAGTTGTCTAACATAAGAAACTCTGATGGTCTGTACAAGTTAGTGTCTAACATAAGAAACTCTGATGGTCTGTACAAGTTAGTGTCTAACATAAGAAACTGATAGCTGTCCGAGTTAGTGTCTAACATAAAACACTGACGGTCTGTACAAGTTAGTGTCTAACATAAGACACTCATAGTCTGTCCAAGTTAGTGTCTAACATAAGAAACTGATGGTCTGTACAAGTTAGTGTCTAACATAAGACACTCATGGTCTATACAAGTTAGTGTCTAACAAAAGAAACTGATGGTCTGTACAAGTTAGTGTCTAACAGAAGAAACTCTGATAGTCTGTCCGAGTTAGTGTCTAACATAAGAAACTGATGGTCTGTACAAGTTAGTGTCTAACAAAAGAAACTGATGGTCTGTACAAGTTAGTGTCTAACATAAGAAACTGATAGTCTGTCCGAGTTAGTGTCTAACATAAGACACTGATGGTCTTTACAAGTTAGTGTCTAACAAAAGAAACTCTGATGGTCTGTACAAGTTAGTGTCTAACAAAAGAAACTCTGATGGTCTGTCCAAGTTAGTGTCTAACATAAGAAACTCTGATGGTCTGTCCAAGTTAGTGTCTAACATAAACTGATGGTCTGTACAAAATAGTGTCTAACAAAAGAAACTGATGGTCTGTCCAAGTTAGTGTCTAACATAAGAAACTGATGGTCTGTACAAGTTAGTGTCTAACATAAGACACTCTGATGCATCAAACCTTATAAATAATTCAACAGATTTTATTGAAAATGTAGAAAAATAAAGGAGCTCAATCAGGAAGTAAATTAGGGTAGCAATACCTACAATAGCATTGGGGGGCAAATTCATGGTGAAAACATCTTGTTGATAATTCAGCATCCAAGATGCATTCATAGTTAGTTATCTTATACATGTAAGTAAAATAGGCAACTTATTCTCTTCATATTTGAAGAATGCTGAGAAATAGATTTTCCTTACCACAATGTACCTTCTATGTACATTAATTTACCAAGGTTGGATAATTCTAAATTTATTTGAAACTTCATTGAATGCAAACAAAACTTTACAGTGCAAAATTGTCAGTCTAATGTATTTCTTCACCACGAGGAACTGTTACAGCATTAAAAGGACAGATGCCTTTTATTTAGTTCTTCCAGTTAGACCAATTTACATTTTTCAGGTACTAGCATCATAACTAGAGTAATTAAAAGTATCTTGACAAAAATGATCAACTTGGCATTTCTTGTTCATTTTCTATGAAAATGAGTTTGTCAATTCAGGATAATATGGAGTTAAAGAGTAATGAATACAATGAAGCTAACTGCTCCAGTGGCCTTGTGGTTAGAGCATCCACCTTGGATGCAGGAGGTCATGGGTTTGAACCCCAGCTGAGTCATACCAATCCAAAGACTTACAAAAATGGTACTAACAGCTGCCTCGTTTGGTGCTCAGTGTTTAGAGGTTAGTGTTAGGACTGGTCATCTTAGTGTCATGATAATGTGACTGGGTGGGACATCATGCTACATATCTGCAGAATTATGCACCAGTGCTAGGCATCACTATAAACTGCCACACTGCAGACATCATAGCAATATGGCTGAAAAATTGTTAAAGTTATGTTAAAAATCTAAATCACAAACACACACACACACACACTGAAGCTCCTGGTCTGGAAAACTATAAAGCACATACTAAACATCTGACTCGGATGATTATCAAGTTATAAAATTCTTCAACAGTATCAATATCCTCTGACAAAATCATAATTAAGATACAAATGAGTTTGACAGGAACAACACTGTAAGTTTGATCCTAGGAACAACACTGTAAGTTTGATCCTACCATACATACTCACTTAAAAGTCAAATACAATTAGAAACAACATGGACCCCGGTCTGCTGTCAAACAATGTCCTAACTTATCAGGCAATATTCCTAAAAAACTGCATAGACCCAGAACAGTCAGTACATAATACACTGGTGTTATTCCTAACAAACTGCATAGACCCAGAACAGCCTGTACATAATACACTGGTGTTATTCCTAAAAAACTGCATAGACCCAGAACAGCCTGTACATAATACACTGGTGTTATTCCTAACAAACTGCATAGACCCAGAACAGCCTGTACATGATACACTGGTGTTATTCCTAACAAACTGCATAGACCCAGAACAGCCTGTACATAATACACTGGCAGATCTGGGTCTTATTAATAATTGATCTGACTTGTTCATGATTACAAATGATATTAAAAATGAATCTTACAAAAACCACCGAAGATTATTCATAAGAACAAATTTGATACAAACAATAGATTTTGTAATTATTCAGACTTGAATTATTGCTTTGCTACATTCAAAAATTCACAAAATACATCTTCAGTCTGAATGAGTTCTGTTTTAAGCTGTTCTTATAAGCCCATCTGAATCACTGAGAAAGGAAACAGCAGGAAAAAAAATGAAATATCAAATTCATAATAAAATTCATCATTTTAATTAGTTCATTTCTGTCATAAATATATACACATATCAAAATATTAGCATGTTTAAGGGAATAAATTCCATACATTTACAATACTACAATAATAATACAACATATATCAGTTTTAAAATTTTGAACTGAAATGATGTCCTCTTCCAATGTCTAAAGGGCTGCGTTAAGTCAGACTGCAAAAAAAATCCACTTTGTTAAATATTACCTATATGATAGATCATGTGACCCTAATATTGCCTATTACTCAAGCCTTTGTTTTAAAAAAATGAGTCAACTCATTACAATAACAAGATTTGTTTTCAATCAATTTCTTGTATTTTTATAAAGACTGTACCATTAATTTAAAGGAGGCATCATATTTGTCTTATTGTTGCCAAATCAGCAAGTATAATAACAAGTTGGAGTGTATTGATGCCACATCAGGCATTAAACATTATGTGGTAGATGTGCCAAATCACAAAATGGCAGGAAAGAACCATAGGAATTTATATGATAGTGTCTGGGAAAGTTATATACTAGTGTCCCTGAGGAAGTAATATACTAGTGTCCCAGTCAGTTATCTGCTAGTGTCACAGTAGAAATTATATGCTAGTGTCCCCAGGGAAGTTATTTATTGTTTCCTCAGGTAAATTATATGCTATTGCCATGGGAAATTATAGGCTAGTGTTCCCAGGGTAGTTATACACTAGTGTCTCCAGGGAATTAATAGGCTAGTGTCTCCTGTGAAGTTATCTGCTAGTGTCCCAGCAGAAGTTATATGCTTGTATCCCAGGGAAAGTTATATGCCAGGCTCAACCAAGATTTATAAATGGTGTTATGAAAAAGAATTAAGTTATCTATCTTAAACCATAAAAACTTTTAGCAATTTGATCTACACAAGTGGTTAAAAAGATTTTCTCATTTTCAAATAAACACAGTAATAAGAACTTAAAAATACAAATAAATTGAGAATATATGTTCTGCCACTTAACTCATAGTCTTATACTAGTCCTAATATCTCACTTGGCTTGTAAACAAAACATTGTCAACTGTTAACTGAAACAAAAATTTTGATTATTTGTTTCTTTTCAGGGCACACTGAACTTATTTAGCCAAGGAAATTGAACTAGTCTGGGCTGGGCTGGGCTGGGCTGGGCTGGACAGAGATTAAACTCAGGATTACAAATTGTATGCTCCACTAGCTGAGCTAATCTGTCTAATATCTCCTGAATACATTACATCATGATATGCACACTAACTCTGAGGGATTTTTCCAAATTAAAGCCAATTTTGGGGTTTAACAAAAAACCCTCAAGAGTCACTATCAATTGAGACTACAATTACTAACTGAAATAATGGAGGGTACAGCTGTATATGCTTGGTAGTTTTTAAGCTCATGGAAACATTTTTGGGATGAAAATGTTTTTCATGATGGTAAAGTAGCTACAAACATTCAGCAAAGATGAACTACTTTCAAACCGTGTGTGGGCATACACAGGAACTACTTCCAAACGGTGTGTGAGCATACACAGGAAGTTGTGATGGGGATATAAATTGGCAAGTCAATAGAACAGATGGTTTAACTGAGGAAAATGGGGTAGAGCTCCTGTATGTTTCTTGTTGGCTCAAAGTTAATGTCAGTTTTACATAATGACTATACTATGAACTGTGTAGACCTGGACAGCTTCCCTAGAAGAATGTTTTCTGTTCTGTATTTCTTGACTAGGACGTCTTTGGAGACCTCAGAATAAGTACAGCATTAGGAGTCAAGCCACTGGCTTCCAGGGTCTTGGCATTTTCATCATGGATTCTGTTTGGGTAAGCAGACATTATCTGATATGCACCTGATCCAGGACCCCTGAAACAGCAAAGTCATCCTCAGTTAAATATAGATATCATCATTCAATGAAACTACCTGTAAATAAAAGAGCTGAGTTACCACAAGAGAAACATCTTCAACATCCACAACAGAAAAACAAAAAAAAAAAAGAAAGGGAGTGGGGGTTTATGAAAAATAAGCAAGTCAGGAAAGTCACCAAATACATGTCATGGCCTTCATCAAAGCAATTTGTAGTAAAATATGTGACTTTTACAACAGGGTCAAAATGTTGAGTGAGAAGGTTGCAGAGTGAAGTTCCTTACTTTATAATGCATCATCCTCAATATTAACAAAATCTGTCATGGGGTGGGTTTTTAAAACACTATAAGCAAATTTAAATACTTGAACCAAAAACCTTAACACAAATTTTTAGTGACTGACTTTGGCATGACCCTAAATTTAAGGATGCAGGTATATGTGTTGCAGAATAATTGGTCTTTGCTTCAAAATAATTAAAACCTAAAGAAACAAAAGCCATCAAGGAGTTTAAAAAATGTCAGCAATTATTTTATTTTTGAACTAATACCTTAACTAAAATTTTTTATTCCTGTGCCCCAGACCTCAGAGGAACAATATTGGTGGGTGTTATGCAGAACAAACTGCATAACTTCATAATGATTCATTCTATTACAGGGTTTGGGAAATATATCCATTGCTAAACTTTAACCTAAACCTTATTGCAAATTTTCCATAACTGACTTTGACATCAAGGTCATAAGTGAGAGTGAACATATCACAAAATGAACTGTCTTAGCTTCATTCTCAGTGATTCATGTCAATCTAGAGTGAACATATCACAGAACGAACTGTCTTATCTTTATTCTTAGTAAGTCATGTCAATCGACTATTGCAGTGAGGGAGTTGGCAAATTAAAGAAAAATGAAATTCCAATGAATATAAAGAAAATTGAGGAGCTGTGGAAATCACAATAAATACATAACATTAGCTGATTTGATATACTGTGCAATTATTATTAAACGCGTCCCTTATCATGGAGAGCAATATACTATACTAGAGTGGAAACCAATTACATAGCTTACCTTTATGCAACCTTTAGTACTCTCCCTTGTACACATCAACATGCAGAAAATAAATTTTGCTAATGTGATCAAGACAGAAATATGTTAGGTCTGTTTGCAACTAAAATTTAAACGTTTTAAAAAATTATAACAATTTAACATAGCTTGTAATTTGCACAATACAGCTAGCATTGTACTGACATATATGTAAACCACTTACATACATACATACATACATACATACATACATACATACATACATACATACATACATACATACATACATACATACATACATACATACATACATACATACATACATACATACATACATACATACATATATACATACATAAGTACATACATAAAAACTGAGTTATGGTATAAAAGAAGACAATATAAAAAAATTCTTTTTAATTATAATAAAGTTGAAGTACTAAAATTAGTTGCTAAAACTAACATTTTTGCTTTTGCATTTTATGCTTAAATCATTGTATAGAAACCTGATTAAAATTTTATTATCATATCACACCTAGAAGCCAGATTCTACTGTGTGAAAGTGATTGTTTTCAGTAACCTTGAGGTAACCAGCCAGTCTAAGCAGCATATTTACTGTGTTAATAATTACCCTGATGAGCCACTAAAACTGAGACTTCACATATAAAGCATGCAGTCCACTCCAAAAGTCATTCACATGCACAATACAGTTAAAATGCTGATGGAAGCATATCAAAATATATCATATACAGACATTAACATGGAAAGTTTACCTTTGAATAAACATGTTTAATCCTACTTTCAATTGCATTGGTCAGAAAGGGCCTTCTATGTAGCCTGGGATTGCATTGGTCAGAAAGGGCCTTCTATGTAGGCTGGGATTGCATTGGTTAGAAAGGGCCTTCTATGTAGACTGGGATTGCATTGGTCAGAAAGGGCCTTCTATGTAGACTAGGATTGCATTGGTCAGAAAGGGCCTTCTATGTAGGCTGGCATTGCATTGGTCAGAAAAGGCCTTCTATGTAGG